GAATGCCCGATGGACAAGGGGGGGCGATCTCTCCCTCCCCCCTCACGCTAATCTCAATGATAGATGCATTTTTTTCGACTGACTTTTGCACAGCGGGTCTGTACCAATAGCTAGAACTAAATAAATAATGATAAAAGATTTTAGGCAAGATAAATAGATATGTTTTTCATATATTTTAAAAAGCATAAAATTTAAAAGACATTGTAAAAGAAAAGATCAATATCTAAATTATTTTAATTGAATTATAGCAATATTAATTTAACATTATATACATATATTTTGAAATAATAAAGTCGCTAAATATTTATAGTGATTCATTTCTTAGTATGTCTACATGGAAATATTTGACATCTAAATACATTTTTAAGCGTCTTATTATTGATATTTTCACTTCAAAAGATACTCTTTTCTACAATGGTGGAAAGATATGTTAAAGCAGCCTGTGAAGAGCCCGTCAGCCTCTGTCCTCCATCTAGAAGACATCGTTGTCCGAGGGACACTACTAGGAAATCGGCTCAAAATTAACTCAGGGCTGACCATTCTCAAACCAAGCCGAATCGTTATGGCCACCCCAGGGAGGTCAAGCGAGATTTCCCAAAGTCACACCTTTTAAAATTTGGTCCTTTTGCTGGTCGAGTCGGAGTTTTTAATTTCAATGAAAACAAGTGTCGTGCATTGAGGTGGGGGGAAGTGGATAAACGCTTCCACAAGTCATAACTTGTCGCGCTCCTTGATTAAAAAAAAGACTAATTAAACTGACTAATAACTAATTTTAGTGCCTAATAACTGATTAATAACTGATTTAACTGGACCGTGTTTCTTTAAGAACGTTGTCTAATAATTCTATAGACATCTATGGAAGAATAGGTCTCTTCAACAAATAATTTGGAAGTAAAGGCTGAAAAGGGATGGAACTCGCCATGAGCTCTCCTGAAAGTACTTGAAAGATTGCTGGCCCACTTTCGGGTGACGCTTGGGGGATCCAGGTCTACCCCAGGCAGTCAGCGCGACGGAGATCCTTGTCCTAAACGAAGAACACCGTGTAACACGGGGATGGGCAAACTACGGCCCGCGGGCCAAATCCAGTCCACCGGAAATTTCTATCCGGCCCGCGGATAGAATTTTAATTTGCCCGTCCGAGGCAAATTAAAAGAAATATATAGCAGTTCATTCTAAATATGAAAAAGTTAGAGTATTACAAATCGTTATCGAAAGTAAGTTTCCCAAATTTAATAGCTCACGCCCAGAAAATGAGTGCTATGTTTGCTTCATCTTACATATGTGAACAATTGTTTTCAACTATGAACCTCAGAAAGAATTGTTTCAGAAGTAGACTAACAGATGAGCATTTAGACTCGTTCGTTAGAATCGGTATAATCTCAATTCGAACTTCAATATAAGGAACTTTTAGAAATAAAATCGCAATTGTATTCATCTCATTAACATATTTAAATTGTAATACTTGTATATTGTTTTTAAAATTTTAGAGAAATATATCTGGGCCCAGCAAACTTTTTTTTTTTTTCGATTTTTGTCCCGCGACCTTAAAAGTTGGCTCATCCCTGGTCTAACAGTTTGAAGAGCTCGGACACTGGTCAGCCCATTTGTGCGTTGGTGTGGGGAAGTTCACCAACGCTGCCACTATTTTGTGTCCCAATCATGAAGATTGAATTACTATCGCTCTGCGCATACAATTTACTATACTAAAAATAAAAATAAATTTTTAAATTTTAATAAAATGTAGGTTAAAACCTTAACATGTATGGGCTTAAAAGGCTAAATAGGGCATTGTATAAGTATTTAAAATTTTCTACAGTAATCCAATAACGCATTTGTACTTTTAGAATATTTTTGACTTTTTTTTTCAATCAGTAAAGTTTCGTTAAATTTATATTTGAAACCTAAAAAATTTATCTTGGGTAGCATTGTTATATTTACCTTATCTCTAAACATAAATTCAGAATCGACTTCCTCAATATTTCTTCACCAAATACTCATCTGAAATCGAAGTTCTTCTAATTCTGTAATGTTAGAATCATGGTTAGAAAGTTGGAAAAAAATCTTGATTTGACCTACACCCATTTTCATTTACTGCGATATTATATTTGTTATTAATGAATTGATATGATCAAAATTTTAAAATTCAATTCCTTTTCTGATTTGCAAATACGCTTTCAATTTAGATTTGGTATTTGGTAAATTAAAATTTTAAAATTCGGATATCTTACATAAACATCTGCATTTTATTCAGATAATCAGATGTGGACACATGCATTAGTTTTTTAGTCTCTTATTCCAAATGAGTTTGCTATAAAAGGAAAATACATAGATGTAAGAAAATATGTTTTATGAAAACACGGCCATTTTGGGAGATAAGACTCTCTTAGATTTTATATTAATAAATATTTAAACTAAAATGCATAATACTTTTATAAATTTTATACACATGCTGTAGAAATAAGTGAAATTTATATAAAATCTTAACTAAAGCCAGAGCCGACACAGTGCTAAGCTATAATAAGCACAAACTAACAACCAATCACAGTGGCGCAGTGGAAGCGTTCTGGGCCCATAACCCGAAGGTTCGTGGATCGAAACCACGCTCTGTTAGTAAAACAAAAAAATTTTCTGACAATGTATTATTGACGCAAAATTTTTTATAAAAGTGTTTTTATGAACATAGGATGAAGATTTTTATTTACATCAACCCACAATATTAGCAATATCTTTTATTAAATTGTATTTCTGATGATGGATTATTCACGCTAGTTTATGTCCACGTATATCACAAGAAAATCTTAACACAATACATTAAATCGTATATAAACTTCTGTACACTTTTCGTACAATAATATGTGAAAGTTTAAATTACTATTATACACTTTGTTAGTTTAATGTGTTACGCTAAAAAGTAAAAATTTTTAAGAAAATTTTTTTATGGCCATACGATAAATATTGAGAATTTTTATTTAGATCAACCAACAGTATTAACAATATGTTTTATTAAATTATTTTAGCTAAGCAGAGTGGCGACCCTAACTCAGAGGTCCGTGGATAGAAACCCTGCTTTTCTTGGAAAATGTTTTTTTTTTCTGCCGATGGAGTATTAACGCCAATTAATGTGCATATAATTAAAAAGATATTTTAAAACAATAAATAATTTGTCAAATTAAGTTCTGTACGCTTTTCTTACATTAATATGTGAAAGATAAAATTGTTGCTTGTTTTAATGTGTTAAGCTACAAAAGTATCAATTGTTAAAAAAAATCATTTATGAAAACACGGTAAGGATTGAACATTTTAATAATAATATGTTTTATTAGAATATTATAGCACCGCGATAGAATGAGCAGAGTGGCGCAGTGGAAGCGTGCTGGGAGTGTAAACCAGAGGACCGTGGATCGAAACCACGCTGTGCTAATAAAGAAAGGTTTCGCACCTCATGATCAGCAAATAGAGCAAAAGGTTTGTATTAGAGGAAGAGTTACATTTTCATACGATGAATATCGAAAAACAATGTTTTATGTTCTTTTAAAATTAAATCTTCGATAGGGAAAAAGAATTTCGTAATTTAGGCGATGTTTGATTATTTGTTCTTAGTGTAATAGTTTTAATAAAAATCTTTAGTTCAGGAAATGGGCGTTTGAATATGATTGCTGGTTGTGGAGTTGGAAAATGGGAATCACTCAAAATATATGGGCCATGAAACATCAAGTGGGATTTTGTCACTCTGACGCAATCAGAAATGAATAAACCACTTATCTAATTAAACTGAATATAATTACGAACAAATGAAATATTTGTAATTCTCTATTTCAGTTGCCTTATTCAAAAATATATATTTGATAAGGTAAAGTTTTTTTCACAATTAAATTTATCAATTTAGGTAATTTTAAAAATATGAATTTCTTATCCAGTTTCAGCGATGAAATGTTTAAAATTTACGTGGAATGTTGATATTTTATTTGTTCAACAATCTTACCATATTATTTGAATTGGAATCATTTTTTATATTACTATTACTTTAGATCTATTAGACATATTATTTTTGGTGTAGCTCGATTTAAAATAATGCAGGCTTTTACAGAATTCTAATCTCTTTGAAATATTCTTAAACAAAGCAGTAAAAATTATTAAAAATTGTCACTAAATTCCATGGTAAATTTTGTTCGCTGGATTGTTTTAAAAATTTGTCTGGTCTTCTGATAACATAAAAATTTCACTTAAAATTTCTCTGAAATTTAACTCAAAACCATTTACCTAAGAATTAGTCAACTTTATAGTATCTCAACATAAGCACTCAGCCTATCCTAAGTTCTTCTGCAACCACCAACAGTACTTTGAACATGGGAATCATTAAAAATTGCAGGACCGCCGCTTTTTTTCATGATTTATCATGGATGCTGTAATGGTTCAGAATCCTCTTTAAGCTGTAGGTCCCAGTCTCATATGACCATAGAGCGTCACAGAGCCCAATCAGACTTCTTCCCACCCACATCATTTCCAGACTGTAAAGTGGCAACTCAGCTGTAGGCACAGGGATGTGGTGCGGTGTGGTGTAGTAGTAAATCATTAGGCGGCTGGTTTATTCTTCCGCTTTGAGGGGCACCAGTTTCAAAACTCTCAGATAGCATAATCAAGGATGCGAATTGGAAGTTGTGATTTCTGATCAAATTTTAAAGTGGAATTGATATACACGATGCACTCCAAGGTAAAGCTGAGTTCCTGTGCGTCAAGTTGAGAAAGTCTTTGTCCAGAAGATTTAATGCAGCCAATCCCGGCACAGAGTTTAACCCAATAAATAATCTGTCAAATAAATTTCTATACACTTTTCTTAAACTAATATGCGAATGATTAAATTATTGCTATTCTCTTCGTTTATTTTAATGTGTTAAGCTTAAAAAAAAAAAAAGTTGTTAAAAAATTCATTTACGAACTCACGCTAAAGATTTAGATTATTTTTTTGAAGTTTTAGAGATTAAAGATAAATAACATTTTTATAACAATAATAACAATATGTTTTATTAGATTATTATAGCAAAACACACAAACAAGCAGAGTCTCATAGTGGAAGCGTGCTGGGTCCATAACCCATAGGTCCGTGGATCGAAACCACGCTCTGATAGTAAACCTATTTTTTCATTTCTGACGATGGATTATTAACACAAGTTAATGTCCATGTATATTAAAAGGAATTTTAACACAATAACTAATCTGTTCAATAAACTTCTGTACACTTTTCTTACATTAATATGGGAAAGATTAAATTATTCTTATACATTTTCTTTATTTTATTGTGTTAAGTTAAAAAGTGTAAGTTGTAAAAAAAATGTTTTTTTACACCTGGTGAAGATTGAACATTTTTATAATAATAATAACAATATGTTTTACTAGATTATTATAGGAACTCGATCAACCGAGCAGAGTGGCGCAGTGGAAGCGTGCTGAGCCCATAACCCTGAGGCCCGTGGATCGAAACCCCACTATGCTTGTAAAACATTTTTTTATTTTTATTTCAGACGATGGATAATTAACGTCGTTTGATGTACGTTTACATCACGATATCACAAGCACACTTTAGCATAATAAATCAACTACATAAACGTCTGTAAACTTTTCTTACAATTGTTTGTGAAAGATTAAATTATTCTTATGCACTTTATTTTAATGGGTTTAAGCTAATAAGTATAAATGTTTTCATGGACGTACAATACACGTAGAACGTTTTTATAACAGTATTAACAATATGTTTGATTAGATTATTATAGGACAAAATTTAACCGAGCAGAGTGGTGCAGTGGAAGCGTGCTGGGCCCATAACCCTGAGGTCCGTGTATCAAAACCCCGCTCTGCTAGTAAACTTTTATTTCTGCCGATAGATTATTAACACCAGTTAATGTCCATGTATATAAAAAGGAATTTTTAAACGCAATAAATAATCTATCA